CCCACCCCCACCCCACCCCAACTTCCAAAATACACAAGGCGGCCAAATTGCTGACATGTGTGGGGGGAGCGGGGACGGCGAGGCTCCTGCATTTTTTCATGCCCCCACTACGCAAAAGTCCACATTGTTTATTTAAAGAACGCTGAACACTTTAGCACTATTAAGCAACATGTCATATAGTAAACTAAAGGTTTCCTCTCAGGAAAAATCCCTGACAGTTTATTTTTCCTCCGCAAAAAGTTGGTTTTGACTCACCAAGCTGCCTCCATGCACAAGTAAGCAAACGGGCCTGTGAAGTGTACGACGCGAAAGCACAAAGCAAACCTGGAAGGGTTGCGCCGATTGTAGGAGTTGAGACCACAGCATTGGACGGTCTCTTGCCCCGATGCGTGCCTGTCACAAATGAGAGGAATGCGTGATCAAAACAACACCATCATTTCATAGAATGAACCGCAAGAGGAAAATGACTACATTTAAAGATTCTTTCACTCGGCTGACGGATACACACGCGGGCAACGTTGTTGATCAAATTCTGTTGGGAAAAAAAAATTTTGTCATAAAAATTTACTGAAACTAAAATCAGACATTGATTTATTTTTGTGGTCCAACAAAAATCCCGCATAACCTTTTGAGGCAATCAATTTGCACCGGTGGTGTTGTGATACGTGCAAGCACCTTCTGTGCAAAGGACATCGGTTCGATATCCAGCCAGTACCCCAATACCTTGCCACTGTCAGTCCCTAACCTGGAAAGAAAAACGGGTGTGTTACATCTCGTGTGAATACTGTGCCAAACGTGTTGTCTTTTGTTGAAATTGAACAAGGTAATGAGCTTACTTTGACAAGTAAAGAGAAGGGGGGCGGGGGGTGAAGCCAACAGGGTAAAACGGGACAAGCGAAACAGGCATGACAGCCAGGAGTCAGCTTTGTGTGCGTCATCCAAGGCGAGGAGGTGCATGGAAGGAAGGAAAGAAGACTTCCACTGGGCGGGGCGGGATGAAGGGGGACGGGGGGGAGGCGCTGAGAAGGGAAGGTTACTATGACTGATAGCCCACCGGGGCCCACAGAGCCAGCCGACACAGGGAAGCAGCTAATATACCTTGACATGCGTAGGAAACCCAAAACGCTGCGAGAGCTCCGTCAGATAGGAGCCACCCAGAGGAGTGTGTAGCCTGAGCCGCCGTGTGTCCTCTCTAACTAGCACTGTTTACATGAGTGCGTGGCCAAGGAATGCTCCAGTATACCTTGAAGAAACCACAAGCACAACAGCATTAGCGGCACATCAGCTCCCCGCCATGGGAACAAGTCAACTCTGCTCGGCTACCAGCAAAAAGGCAACACTTGGCTCCCCCTCCGTGTGTGTGTGTGTGTGTGTGTGTGTGTGTGTGTGTGTGTGTGTTGCACATAGAGCATATTTGACAACAAAGCTTGACTTGACTTGAGATGGTGATTTTTAAACAGGCACAGCATGGGCAGCAGTTGGGTCCTATGTTTGGTAGATACAGTATAGCCATAAGCAAGTATCGCGTTGAATTCGAACCGGTGGCCCAAAAAAACAATTGGTCTTCCGTCTGGCATTTGTTGAGAGTGGATTTGTCCCGATCAGAGGGTCTGAAACAGGTTGGGTCAGGAATATTAAATTTAAAATCATGTTCTGAATCATTTCTGACCCAAAAATCTTGATCAGATAATTGGAGCGGCGCACACACACGTGTCTAAAACAGAATTTCTGAAAATTCGTTTGTGTGCATGTGTAGCACACCTAGACCGTGTACATCTCGATTTAACTAACTTCACCGGCGTAGCCCGTTTCACGCTAACGCTAAAATGCTGAGTGCGTGCCGATGAGGCGGCGTGTCACCTAGGCTTGGCTCACGAAGGCCAAAATGGGCATCGTAGCAAATGAAAGCAGTTGCGCGGCAGGCACCTTCCCACTGGGAATGTCACTGTAACGTAGCGGGATGGACTCAGACGTACATACGCAGCACGCGCACACGCCCGTGCCGGATGCAGTGAAGCCCGTTTTTACGCTCCAGTCATTGTCGAGCACGCATATTCAAAGTGATATGTCCAACTCGTGAGTTGGCGCACGCTGACACATTTACATACTGGCTCGGGCCATCGCCGTGATGCGGGGTGACAGGTCTTACGCCACTTCCCCTTGGGGGTCTGAAAAGCGAGGGGGGCGGGGGGGACAACAACGTGACAGGCGAGCATGAGTGAGGTCTTTCATTCAGGGTCAAGCATGGACGACAATGAACTTTATTTGCTCCGCAGCCGCAGTCGGTAGACAGCAGTTAATGTGGGGAATACATGTCGTGACTGCGCAAAATCGGAAGACTTGATTTTTGACTTGCTTAACCCAAGTAATGATTTGACTTGCTCGATTTTTTTTTTTCTACAGTAACTTGGTCTTAGGGCTGGGCAATTCATCGAAATATAATTGTGATTTTGAGTTCAGCGTATCTTGCATAGCAAGGGTGCAGATTTGCCATTCAAGAAGAACTCCACAAAAATTTTTGAGTTACCCCAACTCAACATTTTTGAGTGACCCCAACTCAAAAATTTTGAGTTAACCCACCTCAAAATTTGTGTGTGTGTGTGTGTGGGGGGGGGTGTATATGTGTGTGTGTTCAGTACATAGGATCGTGTGCTTCAGTCAATATTAGCTTGGATGCTGTAATACTGTCAGCAAACGCTTAATGGGAATTGAAAAGGGCAGAGTGACTCCTATGTGGATTTGAGTCAGGACTGATTTTCAGAAAGTAGCTCCAGTGACATGATGGGAACAGACAGTTTGGAAACAAAAAAGCAACCCTTGTGTGCAAAGTTACGGTCCCGACTGCCAACAGACTTTGTTTTCACAAAAAAGACTGGAAACCAATAGTTATGACCCACTAAAATACTTACCACTGAAACAACTACTTTTCTTTTTTTCTGTGGGAAACATTTTTGTGCAGGGCTTGTGCTAAACATTCCGAGATACATAAAAACATGTTTTTGAAAACAACTGAAGATTGGATAAAACAACTAAAACGTCAAATATATACGCAACAATGTTTATGCTAGGCAGCTAGCTAGCTAGCCAGTCAACCACATGACAAAATGTGGAAGAAAGTGACTAAAAATCTCTTTGCAAATGCCTTACTTTGAAGAGATCGCTTTGAAAAGTTAACTTTTGCTTTTTTTTTTCATCCAAAAAGCACAAAAAATTGATTTTTCACTTAGGACATGTAAAATCGTTTGCTGTTGACAAGAGAGAATGACACAACAAATGGATGAATGCCCTGGAAAAAAAAAAGTTCTAAAAGCACAACATGGTCAGATTAAAAATAAAACAAACAAAAACGGTGCCTCGAAATGTATATTATTTTTAGAATTTGGGTTTCTTTTCTTAATACATTAAAAATACCTTACCATATGGACATTATGGAGTGTGTATGAATGGTTTAAAAATAGGAATGGAACACCTGACCTTAAGAGTTTGTTCGCCCTCTTGTAGTTGGATCTGCTTCCCTTTTTAGGCAGCAAACTTTCTCCATGGTTTTTGGAGTGTCTGTTGGAATTTTTGAAGTCAGGGCTCATGTTCGTACACACCAAACTCCTCCAAGTGTGTCCTCGGCTGGAACGGAGAAGGAATTTTTTTCCAAAGTTTTCCCACAATGGTGGACGCATTAATTGTGCGAATATCTTGGTACAAATGAGGAATTTAGATCCTGGGCAAACTGAGGTGATTGAAGCCAAAATTGTCCACATGTCCATATTGGCCAGTGATTCTGTGTCAATGTCATAAATTTTAACGGATTGTGATAATCTGTGATTGGCTGCTAACCAGTCCAGGGTGTAACCCTGCTATTTGCCAAAGTTGAGCGAGGATAGGTTCCAGCCCACCCGAGACCCCCGATGGACATAGGAAAATGGAAAAAGATGAATGGAGAACCAGACTGATAAAATGTATGAAAGCGCTGTGATTTGAGTCCTTATAGTGATGTCAGGAAACAATCAAGATGTATCCAGAGGGGCCCTGTTTTTTTCACTCATTGTTCACACTACCTCACTCCAAAAATGATTATGTATCATTTTCCTGACAATAAGGCCAGCGTGTATAAACAAAAAAAAAAAAAAATGAAATGAAGGAAAGAATGAGCAGAGGTTGAACGTGCAGCTGGGTTAGGTCTGTTTTGGCTGACGAGACCAGTGAAACACTGCGAGATAAAGCAAAGGGGAAGACAGCGTGAAGGCAAATTGACTCTGACTTACAGCAAGAGAGGAGAAAAAGAAGAAGCAAAAAAAAAAAAAAAAGGATTGGATGTTGGCACGCAGGGAAAGAGAGTCTGTGGTAGACTCGTAAATAGCCGCAGGGCCAGAAGGGATGGAGAAATGGAGCTATCAGCGGAGGAGCGATGAAGGTCTGGGCTCGAGCCAACATAAACACACGGCGGCCCTGTAGGAGCTGCGGCAACATACATGCCTGAAATGGCCTTGTCCATACACAATACGTACAAACACACAAACATGTAAACACTTAAGGCTGCACATTTTTATGTAACACACGCATACTATATGTATGAACACACACACACACACACATACCAGAAGGCAAGCGCCCAAACCGCAACATCTTGAGTGTTAAGCCGTATGTCATTTCATTTCATCACATACTTCACATTAGTCCACTTTGCTACGATACCACAGAATAAACATGCAGCCCCCGTCAAAAAAAAAAAAGACTGCAGTTTTATTTTTACACATGTGAAATAAACACACAGGAGAGTTAGCGGCGCCCCGCGGAAAATCGCTTTTAGGCCATCCTGAACAGCTCACTGAAAATTGTTTTCGCTGTAAGAATGCAATTCGCTCATTGTGTGCATGTGAATGTTGACAGATGCTACCTATCTTAAAAAAAAAAAAGGGGGGGGGAGCAGAAGCATGATTTGAGGACAACAGTGAAGTTGCTTAATGCCACAAAAGTGTCTGAATCAATCAGAGCAATCCACATATGATACAAATATGCCCATAAATAAGCAAATACGAAAATTTAGTTTGGATATTACTTGTTTATGTGTACCATGCTTTACTTCCCCTAACTTCTTATGTACAGTACAGTAAATTCTCTTCCCCACAACTTGTTGTAGCTAGTCCATCTTTCGGATCAAGTATCGCTTGAAAAAGACACAAAACTAGAAATGCTTAATCTTTCGGTTTAATAGGCTTGATGCCAAGCATGATCTTGACTTCCTCATCACTTGCCGTGGCTCTTGAGTGATTTCTCTTTCCCAAGCTCCAGTGGGCCATCAAGAAGACCCATTGTAAAAGACGTGCTCGACATCAAACTGATGTTTGTGACAACATTGATACGCGAAGACGAATCCTCACAGGACTGCATCCTACGGAAGAGGATCAGAATTCTGACTTTAAAGTCGGAATTCTGACTTTAAAGTCAGAATTCTGAGATTAAAGTCAGAATTCTGAGATTAAAATCAGAATTCTCACTTTAAAGTCAGAATTCTGAGATTAAAGTCAGAATTCTGACTTTAAAGCGAGAATCTTGCCAACCTTTTTTTTTTTTTTCATTGGCCCTAATCCTCTTCCGTAGCATCCAGAGGTGTGACTTCGAAATTTGAATTTGAAATACATCTTACTGGATGTGATACCAGGCCTCAAACTTTGACCTCTCGAATATATGGTTTGAAGTGAGAAAAAAATAATGGCTCACCTGTCTCAAATCCAACAAAAACATGAGCGGATTTCATCGACCACATAAGCGTTAGCATTCAGACAAGCGCCATGTTTTTTGTTTTTTTTTTTGGCACGGCTGTGTGTGACGCCTCCATTAACGTGTGACCGAGCGTAGCTTGCCGTTCTGCCAACGTAACGAGCGCCCTCTTGCTCCGTCTTGTTTTTGACCAGCCAACCAACCACCCGACGCACGCAGCCTCCAATGTGGGCTTCGGTGTTTTCTTAAGCGAGATATTCAAAAGGTGTTGGGCGAAACTGTAGCGGGATAACAGCGTCTGTCGAGCGTGTCTGCCTGGAATGCAAAACACGAGCCGTGGTTGTCACTCAGTCGCCAGTGAAGGCTTCCGTCATGACACTGTTTAGGTGTGAGATTCTTTTCAACTGTTCTTGCTTTAATCGCTAGTGTGTAAAAAATAATAATTAAAAAAAATTAATCTATCAAATTAATCCATATTTTTATTAGATAACATCAGCCAACATCAGATTTGAATCAGTGGTGGGGTTATGTGACCATAAACATATATTTGAAGCCAATTTCATCAAGTTTTTGGTCACAGCAACATTTAAAACAAACATTTTTAGTCAGAGGCTGTCAAAATTGTTGGGTGTAAGACCTGTTAAAGAGTACACACTGTACTTGGCTTGAGAACTGAGCACCAATAAGTCAACTCTGGAGTTTATTTTGTATGTTTGTTGCATTTATTTCACTGGTGGTAATTCAAGCAGACAGGACTGCAGCCACCTCATCCCCGCTTGAACCATGTTGTTTGTTTAACAGTCTTGAAAGATGCAGAAATAAATAAAACCTAGCATAACTATGTCTGCTACATTTCAGCTGTCCCCGTCTCTTCTCCACACGACGGGGGTGGGGGCAGTCGTGGGCACTTGTGGCCAGTGGGTGCATTTTGCCACATAAAGCAACAACCTGCATGGCGGTTCAAAGCCAAGTGCGAGGGGACATGAAAGTAGCACTCAGTACAAGATCACAGGGCGAAAAGGCAAGGAGTGTAAACAGATAAAACACGCCTCCATTTTTGGGCCCATCTCAAGGGTACCCTCATTGCGTAGGGTGGCTCTTAACATTATGGATGCTGAAAAATGACCCGCCGGTTTCAACTCGATATCCATTTGCGGAAAATGTCGACATCTGCCACCCTGCACTGTTTTGGCGCTCATCACCAATCCAAACATTCATTTAACTGCCTCCACTGTGACACTGGACATTGGGAATATTGACAGGCGTGTTAGAAAGCAGCAAAGTTGTTTGAGTATTTTAGCGTGTCCAGCTCCCAGGCGGGCTGTTGCTTTGTGAAAGCCCCCGTATTGTATTTCTTTCCTGTGCCAGAGCACGTTTCCTGTGGCGCTGCCGTGTCAAACAACGATGACCCGCCGCTTCCTGCAAGTCGCATGGAGGCGAGGCCCTGCCACGAGCCCCGGGGGCCCTCTTGGCCAGCCACCGAACATGCTCGGAGACCCCCACCGCACCCTCCCCACGCTTTCAAGTCATCCCCCAGCTTGCCTCGACCGCATCTCACTTTCCTCCGGCTTCCCCCTTTTGCTTGGATGTTGATCACTCCTCTAAAGCATGC